CAAGTAAAGAAGAACAATAACAACAAAAGTAAAGTGCTAACCTAGATGGAATAAAGGCGAGGGGTCAGTGAAGTAGGAAAAACCTCAAACCTATAGAACCCACTACAGGAGAGGGAGAACACCAAAAAGCTAAATAGAGCGCTTTAAAGAGTGAATTGTGGTTCAGTAACTTACACAATAATCCTCCTGTTCAGGAACCAGTACTTCCTCTGGTGCCGGTCGTATCCGATGGGCTCCTGTCTGATATACGGCCGGTTCTTCTGCGCCTCCGTCACGCTGTCGGTGACCCCCGGCACTTTATGAGCGACGCAGATCTCGCACTGCCACTCGTCCTCCGGTACCTCCACCAGCGGGGGCTTCACACACTCCAGGTGATACACCGCTGAGCACGTCTCACAGCACAGCAGGTCCCCGAGACGGTGACACACTCGGCAGTGGTCGTCGTACAGCATGGTGCCGTCGGACATCAGCTCGTCACGGGCGATGTTGGTGGTCAGAAACTGATCCACTAAGAACTGCAACACCTTGATTTTACTCTCAAGTGGACCATAAGGATACTCATCCACTTCCTGATAGGGCAGAACGTGATGGTACTCCCGGTCGCTCTCGCAGTACGCGCGCAAAACCTCCGGCCACGTCATGCCGTCGATAAAATACAGAGTGGAGTTGACGCTGTCTTTGAGGTCGGCGGGGGCAAACGTGGTGTTGGAGGTGTCTTCTTCACGTAGGATGACCTTCAAGAGGGCTATATGTGTCTCTGCGATTAAAGTGCACTGCTCCTGACCCACCAGCGCCGCACAGAAGTCCTCGAAGCGAAACGGGGAGAGACGCAACACCGTGCTGAAGTTACGTAGCACCTCGTAGATGGAGGCGGCGTTGAGGAGTTCGGCGCTGGGAACCAGGAGGTCCTCGGAGGAGTCGGGGAGTTTGAGAGCAGGAATCTCCTTCTCCTCCAGGATAGGGCTGCGAGGTCGAGGCCGGCCTTTTCTCTTCCCTGTAGGAGACAAGCAAAGTTAGCTTTGATCGATAGGCTGCAGCATATTTGAGAGGCACATTACATATAATAAGTCCATATAATACGATGTTTAATCTTATTAATATCACACTGCTCTCTGCTTTCTGTCTGAGTCAAAACTAAATGCAGCGTTCGGTTATTATGCTTCATAAATCTGAAAAGAAACCACAAAATAACTGCTATTCTTACTTATTTTTAATCAAGGCTGAAGACACTTATTTTTCCTTCTGCATTTTATTAAATCAAATCACTTTTTTATTTCTACACTGCACTTTACATTGCATTCTTGTATGTTATACCGGTCTTATTCTATTATATCTTGTTTTTAAATTGTATTTTCTTGGCCTTGAATTACTGTTAATAACATTTGGCAATAACCATCTTTTTCTACACCAATATACCAATGAATACATGGTGCATAATTTCTTAATGTAGTTGTAATTCGTGTTATTCTCAATCCTACAGGTGCAGGTAGTTTGCTATAACCAGTCAAAGAGACACAATTAAGTTAGATAGCTAGCTCTTATATTTATTTTATTAGCTTTAATGACAGACTACGATGTCTTCTTCGCGTAATATTATTGCGTTTAGCTATAAGAAGTACGCAAAGTTAGCTTTATTTAACTATCAGACTTCATATTGACAGTATTCAGCATGAACTAACTGTGAAAGCTAACATTAGCTCAGAAGCTATTATCTTTCGATTAATTGGCTTCAATTCAGAAACTATACTTTCTTCTTCACCTGATACAAATGGGCTTGCGTGTAACTACAAGTAAGTCAACTTATAATGATATAAATACATTTTTATTATTAACTACAAGACTTCATATTGACAGTTAGCAGCAAGAGCTAACTGTACATGCTAACATTAGCCACGTAGCCGGTTTCTTTCTATGAATTAGCTTCAAATCAGAAACTACAATTCCTTCTTCACTTATTACAAATAGCGTTGCATTTTAATATAAGAACCGATACTAACGTTAAGTTATGATTATCTAACTATCGGACTTCTTATTGACATTATCCAGTAGCTAACTGAGCTAACTGTGCATGCTAACATTAGCCACGTAGTCATTATCTTTCTATGAATTGGCTTCAAATCAGAAACTACAATTTCTTCTTCACTTGTCGCAAATAGTGTTGCATGTTAATATATAAAGTCAATATATAATTATCCAACTATCGGAGTTCATATTTACAGAAGGCAGTATGAGCTAACTGTACATGCTAACGTTAGCAGGCTAGAAGCTACTGTAAATGAACAACTTCAACTATTTAGAGTAGGAGGTATGCAGTTATTGTTATGCTATAGTGTGAGAATAATGCAGAAAATAGTGCTTTTAGACAGTGGTGGAAACACAGGTGAGCTGGTGTTACAGCTACAGATCTGATCCACCTACAGCAGCTTTACTGATCTGCGGCCTGTGTGCATACAGTCTCCATTTTGAACAATAACCACACAGCTTCCTGAGCAAAAACAACAACATCCAGCCTTTCAGGATGCATTTCCCAAACAATAGACACTTTTCTTGCATTACTGTGTAATAATCACCTTTATGTGAAAAACCTACATTGTTTTAAATATCCTAACATGTTTTATAATGTCTCAACACCTTCATTTGTTACTATGTCACTAAGTCAAGTTGGATTTGTACTTATTTGCTACATTTTTATTCAATTCTATTATGTGCTTTCTTCTCTACATTTAGCTTTATAAATGTGCATATTATTTATTATTGCATGCGTTTTGTTTACCTGCTATGCTAGATATATACATCTTTAAATACCTGTGCACTATATACTTCTACTGCTGTTACTACTGCTGTCAAACTACTTTAACATCCTTAGCTTATTTAGAAAAAACAATGAATTGTACTTTTTGTTGTCCACCTTGATGTGTATTTTTGTAAATGGTTATTTGTGTAATTTCTATTTCCAATATGTTATGCATGCCTCTTAATTAATATTGTGCTATTTTTGGCTCATTACTTTTGCTGTGGGACTAATAAAGGAATTCTTATTCTGATGATGACCACCCTGCTGCAGTGCATATTTAACCCCACTTTGATCACATATTTACCTGGAGTGCTTGCATGTGTGCTCTGACTCCTGAAGCTACTCTCCGTGCACAAACTTCCACCATCCTCCTCCTCTTCCTCCTCTTCCTCCAGGCAGTCAGATTCCTCTTTCAGGGCCTCATCTTCCTCAGACTGGGGCTCCTCCACCTCCTCCTCTTCGGATCTCAGACTCACAGCATCGTCGTCTTCATCACTTTCATGGTCGTCGTACACCACGGTTTTGCAGACCGGGGTTCGCCTCCCTCCTCGTCCCCGACTTCTGCCCCCTCTTCCCCGGCCCCGTGTTGTCGTCCCCGACCCCCCCAACCTGCCTCCTCCTCTCCGCCGCTTAGGGCTCTCTCTTGCGGGGCTTATTGCCTCCTCATCCCCGCTGTGGTCGTCACTTCGCACCCGGGGCTTTATGTTCCTCCGCGGCCGCAAACCTCGCGTTGCAGCCGGGGAAGAATCCTCCGCTTGGAGAGGTTTGGGCGGCCTGCCTCTTTTCCCTCTCATGGTGGAATAATTACTCCTATTTTTGCAGGGTTTTGCCTCCAATTAGTTCCACTGCAGATGAGTCCCTGTGGGGTTCGGACGGTGTTGTTTTCACTCCCCGGGTTGGAGGGTTTGTTTACGGGTGTTTGAAGCTGAGAATGTGAGCCCTCGGTTCTCCTACAGAGCCGCCATCTTTCTTCTCCTCTCTTCTCTCTGAACAAACAGGAGGCGCTCACTACACGAGTCACGTGGTTTCTCCTCAGTGGCAACAATGAGCGATATGAGGATTCACTCACATTAGTTTCATTTACTACATCTTAATGATAGATATGGGGTCAACGAGGGGGTACATGTAAAATGAAACATACATAGAGGGAGAAAAGGTGTTTAAACAGTGTTTTACCATTTCAGGCAATGCAATTTTAGGCATTCAGTTTGAGGTCAGAGTAGATAATGTATGAAAAAAAATATGTCAATACATTTTTCAAGACACTGATCAGTATAGGCATGATTTTTGGTCATTTTATACTGAGTTAGGGTTGTATAGGTTTAGTTTAGTTTAGTTTTTTAGCTCATAACAAAGCACATTTATTTATTTTATATTTATTTGGCCTTTTATGGTTTCTTAAAGTGCAAATACACATTTCTGAACACCTTTTTAATATTTCTGAGTGCATTCCCCCTTTTCATTAATAATTTAAATAAAAATGTATGCTTTGAAATAGTCATGGGGGCTAAATCAGCTCTTTCAGACAGTAGTCAGACAAGTATATCCTCAGTGTTCAAAATGTAAATGACACACACATCTATACAAATAAACATAAATAGACAATATATATGTCAACAGTTATTATACATAATAAGTTAGAATACACTATAATAGACCAACCTACTTTATACATTATACAAGTGTGCGAAGTAGTTGCACTTTGTACATTTAAACACAAAGACATGTATTTTTATATTAAAATCTTCTTATATCATTGATGAATTACCTCGCTTGTGACTTAAGGAGTGTTTAACTATTTAGCCGTTTGGTTGAATAACCAGTACAGTTTTTAATCAGTTAATCATGTATTTTGCATGTTAAATATTATTCAAACAGCAAACTATGTACAGTAGCATTGTAATGACTTCCTGTACAGATAAAACTATAGCAAACACTTTAACATGGCTCATAATATAAATGTCCAAATATTGATTATAGGGTTTGTGTGACACAATAATAAACATTTAAAGTAACTGTATTTGTAGTTTTCCATCCCAGTTACTGCTAGTACAATTGTCATTATTATACACATAAATTATGTAATTGATATGGCTTACAGTATATATATGAATAGGAATTATGCATTGTGAGGTATAAGTTACGTCAGCATATAGTGAAGTTCATCAGTTGTCGTGGCCGAGTGGTTAAGGCGATGGACTAGAAATCCATTGGGATCTTCCCGCGCAGGTTCGAATCCTGCCGACAACGAATAATTCTTTTTTGAAAATAATTGTAATAATACTTGTATTTCATTTAAATTATACTTTTCATTTAAATTATACTTTTACACATTAAGCTGTATATTCAAGAATCATTAGGAAGACATTCCGTGTATAAATACTAGATGCACCTGAAGTCACCACTTTAGCGGTTTTAAACGATGGTTTACAAGTGATGCAACAGCGCCACCCAGTGGTTAGGTTTAATGATTTAACAAAATGGATAATGCTTTAAAAATACTAAACTCAAGAAATACTGCAGGTTTTGAATTTTTTACACATGTATTGTCATCATTTAGGAGCCTGTAAAGTATGATATATCTGGTGTTTCATTAATTTTATTTGTATGTACTGTAAATCATTAGAAAAGATTAATATAAGAAAACAATTAAATACAGAAACTGTATTTGAATTTAAGAAGTTAGAGTAAAAATATGAACATGTATACAAACAAGTTAATGGAAAATAAGATACACTTTAATAATCCCAAAATGGGAATCTATTTAGTTGCGGCAGCTTGTCAAACAAATTATTGCACATAATTCGAAATATAAAAAAAAGTGGAAAATAAACAATCATTCAATATGAACATCCCAACATAGAAGATAAAACAGAACTAAAGAGTAAAAAATATCAAATTGACCGTGAAGATACAAATATATTGACTATCTGACAATTAAAACACTGCTGACGGGCTAAATTACATTAAATTAAGTCAAATGTACAGTGAAGAAATGTATAATCAATAAAGATAATTAACATGGAATATAAATAATAATAAAGTGCAACAAAAAGACTAAATAAATATATTCACATGAAGTTAAAGTTATATTACAAAATAATTAAAGTTGACAACAGATATATAGCTTGTTTATCCCAGGTATTTCCAGCCAGTAGGGGGCAGTGATAAACCATGAATCAGAAACAGCGCAGAAACTCTGAGCTTAAAGACAACTGTAGCATCAGAGTTAGAGAGGAGGAGACCTAAGACAGATATTATGTATATAGATTCATAGAGGTAACACTTTCATGATCAATTATTATAAAACATATCATATATATTATTCTGAAATGGACCAATCTGCACAATGACTACTTTTACTGTCGCTACTTTCACTATATCACTATATATCTTCTACTTTTACTCAAGTACAAGATCTGAGTATACTTCTACTTTTACTCAAGTAAGATCTGAGTACTTCTACTTTTACTATAACAGAGTATTCCTACACTCTGAGTACTTCTACTTTTACTCAAGTACAAGATCTGAGTACTTCTACTTTTACTCAAGAACAAGATCTGAGTACTTCTACTTTTACTCAAGTACAAGATCTGAGTACTTCTACTTTAACTCAAGTACAAGATCTGAGTACTTCTACTTTTTACTCAAGTACAAGATCTGAGTACTTCTACTTTTACTCAAGTACAAGATCTGAGTACTTCTACTTTAACTCAAGTACAAGATCTGAGTACTTCTACTTTTACTCAAGTACAAGATCTGAGTACTTCTACTTTTACTCAAGTACAAGATCTGAGTACTTCTACTTTTACTCAAGTACTAGATCCGAGTACTTCTACCGCCTCTGCATACTGATACTACAAACATTACAGTAGACATCTTCATGAAAAAAACTTTTATTCAACCGGAGAATCAGAATAAAAATACTTAATTAATTAAATTAGGTTAAGGACACTTAGACATTATAAAATAAAATACATAAAAACAAACTTTGGATGTTGAGGCGAATATGTGCAACAGTCACTCCACCAATGATTTAATCAAAAAGTACAATTTGCTGCAAATCAGGTCAACATGTAGTCGGTGGATTCTTCACAGTCCTGTTGTCTAACAGGTTGTCTCTTTTGTTGCAGAGGTTGAATGGAGAACGCCAGGACGGCAGCACTTCCTGTCAAAGGTCAGGATCCTCACAGAGATGATTAACTCTCCTTCTTAACTTCGAGGCCAAACCGAAATGTCTAAACGCTGCTGAGACACAATGACTCTGATCTCTTTCAGGAGGCTCCGATCGGGGGTCTAGCTTAAATAAAGTAATTGAGCAACAGCAGGTTAATTCAAGGCCTCACTTTCCTGGAAAAAAGGTAAATGGTTGCTGGTGAGAGGTCACACAAGGTCACACATCTCTCAGTTTCTGTCATCATCCTGTTGTATCCTCTCAGATACATTCATACGTTTTGAACAGCGTGTGTTTTGGCCAAGTTAAAGAGTTTATATCAGTATGTAGTGTCTCTACTTTAAAGAGTCCTCTCCTGCTGATGTTCAGGTGTATATCAGTATGTAGTGTCTCTACTTTAAAGAGTCCTCTCCTGCTGATGTTCAGGTGTATATCAGTATGTAGTGTCTCTACTTTAAAGAGTCCTCTCCTGCTGATGTTCAGGTGTATATCAGTATGTAGTTTATATACTTTAAAGACCCATAGTGAGCCCCGTAGATGTGGTCGAGTCCTATGAAGCAGCTGTTAGGTGTGAATGACCAGAGAGAACATGCTCAGTGTGAAATGAGGCC